CTCTTTCTCTCTGTTTCCTTCTATTCCCCTCCCTTTCCTCTCGAGATCGTAAAACAGACTACCCTATTAACTGCGCCGATATCCAGTGGCCGGAAGTGATGGTGTTTTCGCTGCCGTATCGTTCGCTATTATGTTAGGGATATTTAAGGGATTTTATGAAGGTACACAAGGGTGGCTAGATTGGTTCCTAGAGAAATCTGGATAGAAGTCGAGTCGTGCTTGTCGTATTTCAGCCGGGCTATCGAACCGGAAACAAGGCGAAGGCGCGACAAAATTCCGGCGGAGAAGAGTCGGGGAAAATTTACAAAGCACGGCCGCGTCACGCGAGGAATAAGAATTAAGGAGATACTCGTTTAAGGGAGAACGAGAGAAAGGAGCTGGCGAAGTAGGTTGGATCCTCGTGGCGAAGACAAAAATCCGGGGGATAAAGTATGGTAAAAGTGAAAGAGCGAGAGAGGGTGAGCCAGGAGAGGACTGGAGAGGGTTGAGTACACACACAGGCGGCCTAATCTTGAATAAGGAACGAATACGGAAGAAAAGTGGTCTATGCCGTGCTGGGAAATCGGATGGAACTACGCGAGTCGACCGGCAGACATAGTGAAACACTCGAATGGATCTGACGGAGAGAAGCCTCCAGAGGATAAAGACATATATCGCTTCCGGCAGAAGGATTGTATCTTTTCCAGTCCCTTCTGCGCCCGAATAATACCGGAAGTAATAATTTCCCCGTCGGTTTTGCGGACATTGTATTCTCTACGCGGACATGCCTTCCGCTGGACTACATATTAAAATTATTATTCGACACGATGCAGTTTATACGATGAGACAGACACGACGGCGACGTTAGCCAAAAGAGAGGATTTTCTCTCACGATTGGAGAAATACGAACGTATACGAATTCGTCGTTCTCAAAGGGTTAAGAAATACGTATATCTTCTTGTTACCGTCTAAATAGAATTAAAGGGAATTTTTGTCGCGGTCCTTTCAATTAGAAACGTAAACCGACAATTACCAGGTCCATGTTGGCCGTTTAAAGGGAAACCGAGTAGTTAGAGGCAGTTGAACTTCCAGTTTGGGCGGGAGACAAAGGGGTTGCTAGCTGTTTCTCAGGCTGCACACAGCTTGCCAACTGGCTTTGATACATTAGCGAGCGATAATCCTGGATGATACCAAAGCCAGGATGATACCAACTGGATCCAACGCAGCCACGGAAATACGTGGTTGGATACTGGAACTCTTGGTGTATCGCATTTCTTCCGTTGATACGTTTCGGAATACTTCTATCGAAGTATCGCATTCGTTCACCGTATCACGCGTACTCGAAGGTGGAAGGACGATGATCCTGTGAATGCTGAAACGCGTTTTTCCTCCTGTTATCTACCGTGGAATATTCTCTTCTGGATTCTCCGCGTTGCATTCGCTTGGGCACTAAGTAAAAAGGAATATTCGAGAAGAACGGGGGAAAAGTTTCCACGGAAGTTTCCCCCTACTCTTTTTCG